GGCCCACATGACATGTGACTGTCTCTCTATTAACTGGCTTTTTGCTGTTCAACATAGAGAGGTTCCGATTACTGGGGCCATTTCCCTTAACTTATCCCGATGTCTCCTCTAGACATCACAGCACAAGCAAGCTTAGCAGTTTCAAAGGGTAGAAATTCTGGCCAAGGAGTTTATTAGAGTGTTCACCAAGGACATTCTTTCTTCCCCAATGTATACTCAGAATTGGCTTCATTAGACTGGTGGGGATACTGAGCATCAGTTCCAGGTAGCATGTAAAGACTTTAGAACAACACAGAGGAGGGTGAAAATCTCTTGTAGTCACAGAAACTCCCAAAATGCCCTATTGTGTACCTATTCAATTTTGTGTACCTGTTCCTGCATCAGCCCACCTTGTGATGGGAAAGTCCCCTCAGGCCAGGCATAGGGAATAGTACCTAGTGTCCCTATGAGTAGTAAGGCAGTATCTCATGAAACTGACCCACAAGCATGGACCAGCCCAGGTCCTTCATTTGAGCCTGCTAGCAAAGACATATTTAGGCCACTTATTACAGAAGATAGATTTGGCCTGGATTTCATGGATTCAAATTTGAGCTAGATAACAGGATACCTTAGCTCCCCAAAATGAAAATGGTGTTAGATGATTGATGGTTTACTGTCTTGTGCCATCCATACATTGGTGACTCATAACTGCTGTCAGTGTATGATGGTCAGGCCTTTTCCCACCTGCTATAAATATCTCTGTGCTAATAATATATGACTTAACTTTCTTGTGTGTGTGTGTGTGTGTGTGTGTGTGTGTGTGTGATATGCCAACATGTGCATATGTGTTTACATATGTGGGGGTATATGAGAGGTCCATGCACACATGTTTGCACATGTGTGTGGTGGCCTGAAGTTGGCATCAGGTGTCAATCTTCCTCAGTCATTGTCCATTTTATTTATTGAGGCAGGGTCTCTTTCTAATTCTGGATAGTATAGTTAGCCAGCTTGCCCTATGGATCCCTTCTCCACCTCCAAAACAGAGGGATTGCAAATGTCTGCCATACCTTCCCTGGCTTTCATGTGGGTTCTGGGGATCCAGACTCTATTTGTACAGCAAGTGTTTTATCCTCTGAGTCATCCCTCCTATCCCCTATGACTTGGCATTCTAACTCACTGTATCATCATTAGCTTAGGAACCTCATTTTCCCAGGGCAGAGTTTCTTGCCTTAGACAAAGCTGGGCAGCCAACACAGCAAAGCATTGTGTCCTCATAACGAACTCACCCATGTCTCTGCTTTTCACTGGTGCAGACCACTATCAGGAGTCTCCTGTCTTGGGACTTTTACTCTGTGCTTCTATTAGCCAGACTCTTATCCTACCCTACTGGTTTCAACCACCCTGCCTCTTCTTTCCCTGTGTCCAGTGCCCTCCCCAGGATGTCTGCAAGTCTTCTGTATGATGCCCCATATCTTGATCCTTGTAGGACATAGCCTGGTATTGAAGTATTGAGAGGTACTGAAGTATTGGGAGGTCTGGTAACCAACACAGACCTTGATTGAATGTGTCTGTTTTTCCCTTGGGGATTGATCCTTCCCTCCATATAGTCATCCTTTTCCAATTGTCCCAAAAACCACTTTGTTCTTGAAGTGATCCCTGCTGTGTCTCTGTTTAGGTCCACAATACCCTGTCCTGAGGCCACCTTTTCACAATCAGAATAACTTATCAAAAGTATTTGCCAAATAGATACAATTGTCCCCTAATAGATGTTGTATGTTTAGCTCTGCAAATTATTAAAAATATTTGGGCTTGTGGCAAAGAGCTAATTCATTTGAGCAGGTAAAGGGCCTAACTTAGGGACCACCCCTAGAAAGGTGGGTTAACTTTAAGCTAGTGTCCTTTTCCTTCCCAGAATTCCCACCTCCCTTGTGCAGTCCCTACAAGCAGCCATGAGTTCTCTTAGTCTGCCTGCCTTTCAAACTCTAATAAATTGTCCTTGAGCTTTGATTTGATTCTGCCCTTAACTTTTTTACATTAAAGAGACTAAGAAACACAAGAGGAGACCCTGATTTCCTCTGGTATCATATGGTGGATATGCCAAGACTCTGCAAGATCTCCCACCCTCAAAAAAAAGATACCCTTGAACCTGTGAACATGTTGGGTTACAAAGCAAAAGGAAATTATTGTTAATAATCAGAGGAATTTAAAGCAGGTATTATTCTGGATTACCTGGGGAGAGTCTGTCTTTATAAGAATCCTTAACTGGAAGATGGCAGAAAGAGTTGGTATGGAAGAAACTTGTAAGAAAGGCTTTATTAGCCACTTGAGAAGCAAAAGGTTACAAGCCAAGGAACACTGGCGGCCTCCAGAAGCTGAGGTAGGGGCCAGTTTACACCAAATGGTATATTTGGTATACCATTTTTATACCAAAAAGAATATAGTCCTGCTGAAAGTTTAATTTAGCCTTGAGGGACCAGTGCAATTCCTGACCAACTGTCAGATGGTAAAACTGTGTGAAGTGCTATGTTTGTAATTTGGTAAAGCAGCAAGAGGAGCGCTGGGGTGTTTAGTAGCTCAACACTTGTTTAGCATGTGCAATGCCCTGAATTAGATTCCCGGAAGTACAAAACCAAAAGAGTAAAATAAAAATAAATTAGTAAGAACATAGTACAGTTCTCACACAAAAGTTTACCTTTTTACTCTGTTTCCTAAGTATTGCTTGGACTCTTCATTGCTGCATGTTTCCTAGTGGTAGAAGATGTCATCCTATGTAGACTGCATTTCAGAGACACATGAACACATGAACATGAGAACATATGAAGTCCAAGCCTCTGTTCAGGTAGGGTGACATGGTTTAGAAGGTCTGTGTGTGTTGTGTGAACTTCCCCTAATGTCAGATGGCAAGTTCAGGTTATCACCCTTTAGGTCCATACTCACAAAGGAATGATACACATTTCCACACATATTTTCTTGATCATTGTGGGTTCCTAAGTCTTCAGGTCACATGGATATTGCCATTGTGTTAACACTAAAATAATGAAGAGGTGTACCAGTTATGTTGTCTCTGTTTATGTTGCTGATATGGTTATATGGTAGATTCACTCTTTCAGTGACTACGGCACCCAGCTTCTCACATTTATTACTTTGTCACATGTCCATTACAAGCTATCAGTATGTAGAATCCTCAGACCTCACATCATATACGCAATCTTTTTTCTGTTTTTGCAATTTTTGTAGTTGTGAGAACTGAACACCAACCATCTGCGTGCCAAGCACTGTACCAATGGAGTAAATTGACAGCCTGTACAAACTTATATAAGCAGCCTATTATTTTAATGTCATACGGATACTATTTTCACACACACACACACACACACACTACACACACACAGTGTCAGGCTCAGCCCTCTTGTAGAAAGTGAATTATTGAGCTGATGATTCATGTTCCCTGGCCAAGGGGCCTCTCAACTATGGCAGGACAGGCACAGAACTTTAAGTGGCATGAGCCAGCACTACTCTATGACTGATTCTGAATTTTATGGTTGTATAACATGTTAAGGTCATATAACATGGTAAGCTCACGTGGAGCTCAGTGAGCTCTCAAACCGTAGTCACATGAACTCAGGCAGGGAGCACATATAAAACACAAGTCTCTTTCTTGGAGACTGACCAGCAGCATTGCTGTGGTCACACTGCAAGGTGGCCTCACAATTACAACATCCTCTCCAGGGAAATATCTTGCAGCCAGGTAGGGTGCCAAAGCTGAGGTTTTTTAAAAATCTTATGTCATACACGTTCTTTGAGGTTAAGTGCCGAAGTCCCCACTTTAAATATATTGAAAGGTGGCTTGGCCTCCATGGTCTGAGAAGTCAGTAGGAGCTTTAGGGGTAGTATGATTCCAGCTTGGGTACTCACTCAAGTTTAAACTAGTTATACTGAAGTTAGACTGACTCACAGTAGCTCAACTTTATCACAAAGTTTAATATCCCGCTGTTGTTGATGGTTTTTGCTGGAAAGGCACACTAGTTTGTACCACAGATTTACTCAGTCAGACTTTAATAGTGTAACCAAGTAAGGCACTGATGCTGAGAGCTGGAGGAGAGGGGGGTAGGTAAAAGGGAGAGCGTTCTGAATGTGGTTGAAATTTTGCTTCCCTAACAGAAATCTTATGTGTGTGCTGAGAATGTGCTGAGGGGGAATGTGATCCTGAACTCACAGGACATCTAGTTCTGGGGTAGTGAGATTGATGGTTGGGGCTGAAAAGCAAGCATCGGGAAAGTCAGGGGCGGCAAAGCCGGGGCCCCAAAGTGAACCGAGGAAAGCCAAAATCGGGACGGCAGTGTTGAGGGAGGCCGGTGGCAGGAATACCAGTGTCAGGAAAACCAGTGTCAGGGAAAGCTGGCACCAGGGGAAAGCCAGGGGCTGGAAGACCAACATCAGGAAAAGCCTGTGGAGGGAAAGCTTGGGTCGCAAAAGCCTTCATCACAAAAGTCGGCGTGCGGGATTAGGGGGGCACCATCAAAAAAGCCTGGGTCAAGGAAAGCCAGCATCAGGAAAGTTGGAGTCGGAGTCAGGGGAAAGCAAGCATCAGAAAACCCAGCGTCCAGGGAAAGGCTGCATCAGGTAGTCAGTGGTCAGTGTTGGGATTGAGGGGGAGGCAGGAAGCTGGCGTCAAGGGAAAGCCAGAGTCGGAAGTCAGTGTAGGGGAAAGCCAGCATCAAAAATGTTGGCCTCGAGGGGGAAAACTGGCAACAGGTGAAAGATGGTGGCAGGAGATCCAGGGGAGGGAAAAGCCTTAGGAGGGAAAGCCAGCGTGAAAAGTCGGCGTCTAGGGAAAGCTGGCATTGAGGGAAAGCTGGTATCAGAGAAAAGGCGGTGTCAGGGGAA